ACTACTCTCTCTCTCTCTCTCTCTCTCTCTCTCTCTCTCTCTCTCCAGAATAGTAAGAATCCAGGTCTGAGAAATCTTTGGCATAGAATCGGTAGGCACCGGGATGTAAGTAATAGTGGTTTAGGTAAGGGCGGCACAAATGAGGGAAAGTATATAAAATATTTACGAATGGGAAGAATGGCTTTGATTGAGAGCGACATTCATGTTATGACTGAAAAGATGGCGATTTGTGAGAAGATTCCTGACATACGGTTCCATATATCTCGCCATACATTCTACCAGAATATCTATGCTTTTGGTTTTAATAAGTATTTAAACAAAACTGTCGTTCAGACTATCAATCAAATGTAATTATATTTAAAAACTTTTTATAATTTATATTTTCCTTTAAATAATTTTGGTTCATTTATTTATTATTAATTTATTTCTCATTGAAAGTGTGGCCAGAATTGTGTCAAACGGAATGTTTCAGAAAATAATAACAGATATCCTACGACTGAAGCCGTATATGAGATCCCAGGCCACCAGACAGTGTCTATTTGATAGTGAATTACAAATAAATACAAGGTTTTCTGCAATTCATTTGAATAATATTAAGGGATTTGCAATTTTAATATCAACTTTATATTCATTTGCTTTCATTATAGTCGTTGTCGAGTGTATCATAAAATTATTGATTTCTCTATAGTATAAAGTCTATACAAATGAGATAAATTATATTTTTATTTATGCATATTATTTACAATTCTGTACTGGTATATTAATTAGTATGGTATTGTATATCTAATACAAAAAAATAATTAATTAACAATCAATATATTTAATTTTAAATTAGTTTTACTACTAAAAAGTTTTAAAATTACTTGAGCATAATTTAATATAATAATAATAATAATATTCTTTTGAAAATTATATTATTAAATTTTATATTAAAGTGATATTAACTTTTTGATGTCAATGTTACCCTTTTGACATTAAAAGTTTTGTTATTTTAATTGTATCATACATCATCATATTAATACATTTAAAATAGTTACTCTATATTATTTATCTATTAACAACTACAATATAAAGTATAGATTATACTGTATAATATTTTAATACTGTATGCTGCTTTTATGTATTATCTCAATATCATTTATACTGTATGTTGTTTGAATTTCTCAATGTTGAATATTGCATAAATGTTTTTGTAAGGTGAAAAAACTAATTTAGATTTAATTCAATGAAATGTTAATAAGTACAGTCTGTACCGTAATCCCAAGTTTGTATATACTTTGTACATTAAATAAATCATTCAAATTTCTGTCAATTATTCTTGAATGTCATGCAGTCAACAAATTTTTATATTTGTGAATATTCTGTATATTATATATTATCTTTAAATACAAATGTTTTTGTGCAAAATTGATTTTCATTATATACATATTTGTATTTATTTATATTTTCTATTTGCTTGACTTTTTATTATTGTTATATTATTATGATATTGTATATTAATATAAAATAGTATCATAATTATTGGTGTACCCATGGATTATTCTCAAGAGTTCATTATAGTATTTAAGTACATATTAAGAACATTTTTCGTTGGACATTGTAATTAATGTTATTACATAATATCAACACTCAAGTCACTTTTAGAAAAAGATCTTATTAAACTACATTAATTAATAAGAATATTATTATTTTATCTACTACTTTAAATTTAATTTCAAAAGTAAAATGAATTTAACAATATCTGCAATTCCAGTAAGTAGTATCTATTAAAATAAAAACAAATTTACTTATTATTATTGCATGGAAATTAATAAAAATATTTTCTAGCAATTTTATAATTTAAAATTTTCATTTATTTATAATTTTTTTAATTTTACAATTTGTTAATGGTTGAATTAAATTGCTATTTTTTGATAATAATTAGTACTGGCCGTGGGTTCAAATACATATGAATAATAGTGAAGTAAAATTAACCGGTACATCGACAGAATTTTTGGCAATTATCAAGCGTAAACTAAATTGCAGGTAAACTCATTAAAAAAAATCCAGGATATTTTATAATGATTTTGAAAACTATTTATTTTAAGGTTAAGAATCTTTTATAACAAATATATTTTTTTAAATTGAAGATTGTATACATTTAAAAAAAAACATTTATACTAAACTTCTAAATGATAATTATCTTAAAGATATAAATAAATATTTTAGACATATATTATTCATTGAATCTGTCGAAACCCTATAAATATAATTGAAATTTTAATATAAAATTATTTGTAAAAACAGTTTCAAAATAATTGTACCAAAAGTTGATGGCTGGTCGGGACTTGTAAGCAGTCTATACAATAATGTGAGATAAAAGTTGTGACAAACATTTTGTTTTAAACTAAAATATTTATCACAAACTCCTGTTCCCTTAGGAAACGGATATGTCTTTAAACACACTGTTCGAGACCTCCGACCGGACAAAGAAAATCCATTTCTCGAAAACCCTGTACTCTTCGGCACAGATTATAATCACAAAATCCGGATTCCAAGTGACACCTAATAACTTGCTCAATTTTCTACAGTGTATCGACTGTAAAATATTTATATTACTATTTATGACACTGTTATCCCTATTGGCTATCGATATGATTAACAATTTACTTCATAAGAAATGCAATTGTATTAGTGTATGGAATATCGTCAGAATATTCCTGTTTCAACGTTAGTATAGAATTATTATTTTAAATAATTTGCTTGTTAACTCATAAAAAATAATTTAGCAATTTATTACAATTATAAATGCCATTTTTCTATTTTACTGTATAAAGTGTATTATTTTTAATTTTGATATTCAATAGCCATTTCTCATAATACAAACGATAAGATAGTATTGAAAATAGCTTTAATCAGTCTTATGGTCACAATATTGTACTTTTGGCTCAAATCACTGATAAATGTGGAAACAGTTATAAAACTTAATCACAATAACATCGACAGCATTGAGGATATCTATAATGACGAGCGAGTCATACCTGTATTATACGAAAACTCGTTGATAATCAAGTTTTTTAAGGTATGAAAACTAATTACAAAATTAAATCCATAAATTAACTTTCAATTCATATGCATAGGAGAGTCATAATCCCATATATAGGGAGATATGGGAGCGAATCGATAGGAATCGTGACATATCCATGAAAAGTAGGGAAAGGGAGCAAATGCCTTACAATTTAAACCGCTTTATTAAGTACTTGGACTCCGGGCGGGTAGCCATGTTTGAGTTGGACTTTGTCCAGATTTACAGCCAGGTCCTGTTTTGCAATAAGCTGCCCGATATACGGTGGCACGTGTCCAGCAATTCATACTTTCAAATATCCAACGCGTTTGGATTCAATAAACTACTCAATCGTGACGTTATTAATAAAATTAATAAAATGTAAGCATTTGCTGATTAAATAATACTTTAATGTCTTTTTCGGTATTAATTTTTTTTGTGTAAAAGTGTCGAGACTTTAGTGACCAATGGTTTGGCGGAGAAATGGTTTCGCGATATAAGCAAAGAGACCAAAGATATTGAATCGATTTCCGTTAAACAGTGTATACATCGGTCCGAGACTAAGATCAGGGATGAGTCCCAGCGTAGGGTCAGTCTGTTGAGCATGAAATGGGTGTTATATTGCTATACATTTGGCCTATGGTTTAGTATTTCAACATTAATTGTCGAGATGTTTTACACTTATGGTACAAGATTTTGCCTATCGTTTTGTTACTTTAAAATAATTTGTTTGATTAAGTATTTTATAGACATATTGCACAAATCATACCATTATATGTGCAAAATATATCATCGTTATAAATATTGCGATAAATAAATTTAATAAACTAATAATTTTTAATTATTTCATTTAATTCCTACATGTATTTAATCTATTTAATATTTTATTTGTAATTTATATTGCTGATATGTTAAAACTTTTCATTCATAGCCTATCATTACATATTTAAATATAATCATGTTAAATTTAAACCCAATAAATAATAATTAATCCATTTAATAAATAAATTCAATAATTAATTAGACATGTATCTGGTAATTAATTTTATTATAAGCATAATATTAATTTATTTTATTANTATTTATCACAAACTCCTGTTCCCTTAGGAAACGGATATGTCTTTAAACACACTGTTCGAGACCTCCGACCGGACAAAGAAAATCCATTTCTCGAAAACCCTGTACTCTTCGGCACAGATTATAATCTCGAAATCCGGATTTCAAGTGACACCTAATAACTTGCTCAATTTTCTACAGTGCATTGACAGTAAAATATTTATATTACTATTTATGACACTGTTATCCCTAATGGCTATCGATATGATTAACAATTTACTTCATAAGAAATGCAATTGTATTAGTGTATGGAATATCGTCAGAATATTCCTGTTTCAACGTTAGTATTGAATCATTATTTTAAATAATTTGCTTGTTAACTCATAAAAAATAATTTAGCAATTTATTACAACTACAAATGCCATTTTTTTTATAAATTTATAAAGTGGATTATTTTTAATTTTGATATTCAATAGCCATTTCTCATAATACAAACGATAAGATAGTATTAAAAATAGCTTTAATCAATCTTATGGTCACAATATTGTACTTTTGGCTCAAATCACTGATAAATGTGGAAACAGTTATCAAACTTAATCACAATAACATCGACAGCATTGAGGATATCTATAATGACGAGCGAGTCGTACCTGTATTATACGAAAACTCGTTGATAATCAAGTTTTTTAAGGTATGAAAACTAATTACTAAATTAAATCCATAAATTAACTTTCAATTCATATGCATAGGAGAGTCATAATCCCATATATAGGGAGATATGGGAGCGAATCGATAGGAATCGTGACATATCCATGAAAAGTAGGGAAAGGGAGCAAATGCCTTACAATTTAAACCGCTTTATTGAGTACCTGGACTCCGGACGGGTAGCCATGTTTGAGTTGGACTTTGTCCAGATTTACAGCCAGGTCCTGTTTTGCAATAAGCTGCCCGATATACGATGGCATGTGTCCAGCAATTCATACTTTCAAATATCCAACGCGTTTGGATTCAATAAACTACTCAATCGTGACGTTATTAATAAAATTAATAAAATGTAAGGATTTGCTGATTAAATAATACTTTAATGTCTTTTTCGGTATTAATTTTTTGTTGTGTAAAAGTGTCGAGACTTTAGTGACCAATGGTTTGGCGGAGAAATGGTTTCGCGATATAAGCAAAGAGACCAAAGATATTGAATCGGTTTCCGTTAAACAGTGTATACATCGGTCCGAGACTAAGATCAGGGATGAGTCCCAGCGTAGGGTTAGTCTGTTGAGCATGAAATGGGTGTTATATTGCTATACATTTGGCCTATGGTTCAGTATTTCAACATTAATAGTCGAGATGTTTTACACTTATGGTACAGGATTTTGTCTATCATTTTGTTACTTTAAAATAATTTGTTTGATTCAGTATTTTGTAGACTTATTGCACGAATCATACCATTATATGCGCAAAAGATATCATCTTTATAAATATTGCGATAAATAAATTTAATAAATAGATAATTTTTAATTATTTCATTTAATTCCTACATGTATTTATCTATTTAATATTTTATTTATAATTTATATTGCTGATATGTTAAAATTTTTTATTCATAGCCTATCATTACATATTTAAATATAATCATGTTAAATTTAAACCCAATAAATAATAATTAATCCATTTAATAAATAAATTCAATAATTAATTAGCCAATTAATCTAATAATTAATTTTATTATAAGCATAATATTAATTTATTTTATTACCGGTAATAATTTCTAACAAATAAAACCACTACCAAAACGGTGTATACTTTTTGAGCCAATTCAATACAGTTTTGGCAAAACTTTTTGTAACACTAATCCAATTGGTGTCCACTTTTGAATCAAATTTGTGAGTCTTATAGTGAAACACGTAATGAGTATTATTTGTGATGTGCGACGAAACACCTTATAATCAGTGAAACAAATAAAATATCAAACATTTCGTAATTTGAAAACTATATAAAAAATTATAATATGAATGTATCTAACCATTGGTAGGTCGGTGTTCACCCTTTGCGTCCAACTCATAGACAAACCAATACTTGTTTTGATGCCTATTCTCATACAACTGTCCGATCGACTGTATATAAAAGCCTAGGCTTGGGAAGTGTATGCCAGTGAACCGGTATTCCTGTGGGTGTCGGTGCGATGAGGCGTTCAATGCGTCCAAAATCGTGGCATTTGTTTGACTCGTTTTGTCCATTAATAGCCCAATTGTGTGGACATTGGAGTCGTCGATGCGTTTCGTAATCGTTATGTTAAAGCCTTGAATATAAAACAAACATTTTATGTGTTTTATATAAATATATCTAAAAATTTATATTAATTTATAAATAGGTTTTAATAACCGTTTTATACATACATTCAATATCTGCAGCTATTATTAGCAGATAGAGTGACACATAGAATAGGAATTTTATTGAATTTGTGAACATTTTTTTTAAATAATTAAGTTTTAAAATGACTGAAATTTATTATAAATTATGTGTTAATTAAAATACACGACAATTACTCTATTCATTAAATCACACGAAAAATTATCTGTAATTAGATTTTGCAAAAACATCGCTATTTTTAGAGTCAGCATAAATATAATCATACATTTCCGATAAGAGTTTGTTTATTAATTTTCTAAACACTACTAAAAATCAACAAAAAAAATACACTTTTTCATTTACTGTTTATTTCACAAAACTCTACTAACTTTTAACATTTACAAAAGTTGTATTAATTAATTTAAAAGGTTTTTATTAATTATCTCTTTTCACACACAAATAAAACACTATTTGTTTTGTACATTCATATAATTATACGAAAAAAAGTTTAATTAATTGAATGTTATATAAATCATAAATAATGGACACCCGGACCGGTAGTGTATCGCCACTACTTCTTGAGCTGATTGTATGAGTAGGTGTTGTCCTGTTTGATCAAATCGGAGCACTTCTCGCCGATCATAATACTGGCGGCGTATGTGTTGGCGTTCACGAGCTCCGGCATTATGGACGAGTCGCACACCCGTAGGCCCGACACGTACTTCACGCGACCCCTCGGGTCCACCACTACGTCGGAGCGCTTGGGGTCACCCATACGGGCGCCGCCCACCAAATGCCAGCCCGACTTGCCTTGTCGTCGGATCAGGCAATCGATGTATTGGTCGCAGTCGTACAGCGGCTTATCCTTACAGTACTGACAGCCGGGAATGGGATCTTTGAGGGGTTCGATGTATTGCGAGAACGGCGACCGTAACAGGAAGTACAGCACAAAGCGAATGGCTTCCACCAGATCCTCCCTGTCCTTCGGGTGCCGCAAAAATCCCTGATCTATGACAGGGTTGACAGTCATGTCGTGTGACTGGAGCCTAACGGAGCCCCAACTGCGCACCCGATAGACGTGCGGCGCCGACATCGTGAGGAAACGGCCCAAATAGGGCCGGAAGTAGTTCCGCAACTCAGCCAATGTCTGCTCGTCTCCCGGCATTTCCGACACCTATTCAATGGCAATATAACCAACATTTTAATACAACTAGTTTTGTGTGTTATATATAGCGGACAACTCTATTCAATATATAAAAAGTTTAATAATTTGGTTATAAATATAATGAGCAATAGATGGCAACTAATGATCCGTTCAGTCAAAAAGCCCATCGCGTCAACCTTATGTGAGATTTGAAAATGAAAAGCTTCAATGAGAAAATCCTATGGCTTTTACAATAGGGGTTTAATATTGAAATCACTTACAATAGGATTAGTGGTTGGGTACAGCAACTTGATAATATAAATTAAATGCTAAAGACTAAGGTATTTCACATACTGTATTTACATTGAATAATAAATGTATATTATTTGAGTTGATAACTACACGAATACTGTTTAATTGGTGAATAACATTCTCTAACTCTGGAGTGTTATAATTGATACTGGTTCATTTGTTCAATAGTTTATAATAAGTTATACCCAACTTTGCCATAACTGATCCTAATATTTGTCAATAAAATGTACACTTTTGACTATCTTATGAATACCTGTGAGTCCAGATTCAGCACATTTTGCACAATAGTATAGAAGTATAGGTTCGGCCAATCCGTGCGGTTATTGTCGCGGGAGTTGAAGTACGTTATGCTGTCCGAGGCGTAGGCTAACGGCCCGCTGTTTGTGCTCCACAACT